TTTCACAGGCTCTCCTAGAGAAACTGCTCTGATACCATAAATGTAACATCCCCGTCTCGAGCCGGTTCAATTAACATACACATGATATAAACAGAAACAGCGGAAGACTTAACTTACGAAAATATGAGCTAACTTTTTCTTTTTCTAACTTAATTCTTACTCGGCGTAAACGAAAATCGGGCAGAGTTTCCTCTATAAATCGGACAACTGGGGATTTTCCAATCCCACACAGAAGCATTTCCTGATAAACAGTTTATACAACATATCAATTCAGAAATACCAGATATCCAAATATAATCAATTACCCATACATGGGCGCATGCATAACATGGCTCCGTGCCACTAAATCTAACAGCATGCCATCAAAACATAAACCTATCTGAATACTACATCATCATATAACGTTCCTGAATACTCAAATGTACATGCATCAAACTGACAGACATGTACAAAACATATACAGGCCATATACAAAATAAAGGATCAATATCATGATCCATCAAATGCGAAAATACTAAAATACATCAAACACTCCAAAAAGGTAGTAGCCTACAGCCACTCAAAATCCGGTCTGTCAACTGCCTCAGCCACGTGTCGTGTCCCTGCCTAGTGAGGACTCACCGGAAATCTGGGCACCTGAAAATGTGTCCCCAAAGAGGGGTGAGATTACAAATCTCAATAAGCTCCAGGTTTATAGAGAATTCTCCATACCCCTGGCTCACTCCTGCATGAAAGTCAGATACAGAGTATACAAATACAACATATAACAGATATCATAACAGAACAGAGCATATATCCATATCATATCAGAGATGTGCGCCGTCATTCCCAAGGGAGGACCCCAAGCGGAAATCAACGCACGTGTTCCCGAGGGAGGACCCCAAAGCGGAACCAGACATATCAGAGGAGTACACCATCAGTCCCGAGGGAGGACCCCAAAGCGGACGTCCGGGTACTATACAATCAATGGCCAGAGATTGTTACAGAAATCAAATTACAGAAGTCATATCAGAGCAAAACATATCATGTTATCAAATAACTCTATATGAATGCATCTATACAAAGCATCTAAATCACAGTCATACAGTCCAACCATAGTTCACTAACCATGGTGGAGCACTCAAGCAGGAAAAGACTCCTTAAACATAGAGCTTACCTCTTGAAGCTTTACCAATACGCTTACTTGTGGAACAAGTTACTTTTATCGCTTCAAGAGATTTCCGATCCTTCTCAATCCCTAGGCACACCTAGAGAATAATTTACAATGCATCAATAAAATGATGCAATACCATAATTATTTCATAAGCATACATTTTATCGCTTATTTTCCTTTCTTTGCATTTTTGCCAATCCTATGCCAATACACAAGTCTAGACCTCTTTATAACCGTTGGTGTTCTTTAATTTAATCAACCATTCCCTTAGGAATTTTCAACATAAATCATGCTATTTTTCTTCAAAACTCATCACCTTTATACAATTTATTACAACACATTTTATTTAAAATAAAATGTACAAAATATATCCCTAAATACCCTATAGGTCGAATCCTACAAGGGGAATTTCCAAAGATCCTTCTCTTTTACAATGCATTTTCGTTACTTCATTACAACTTGCAAACACCTAGGAATGCTTCCACTAAATTCCTATTTTGAGTTTAGACACCAAGTCCTTTTTACTTAGGCATTCTTACTAACTCATCCATTTTCACTCATTTCCAACACACTATACCTTCACAATACATAATATAATTTTTTCCACAATAACTCCTACTCACTCCATGATGGCCGAAACCTAGGAGGAAGATGCAATAGGACTTTTAAATTTTTATATCACATGTGGATGCTTACTCAACACTATAACTTCCTAAACAACAATAATCCATCATAAATTTCACATTCTAACATCAATTATTTCCCAACAAAATATGCTCATCAATTTCATAACTTAAATCATCAAAATAATATCATGGAAATAGAGGTTTCTTACCTCTAAACACTTGTACAAAGCCTAGAGAGCAATCTCCAAGCCAAGCTCCATCCAAAAACTCACTTTTTCTCCTCCAATGAATAGTAACTCGAAAATGAGAGGAGGAATAACTCTTCACACACTCAACAAAACCTCAAATTGATGGTTGGAATGGGTTCATTGGGTGTTTTACAAGCAATTTCATGTGGTGGGTCTTTGAATTTGGAGTAGAAATGATGGAGAATCAAGGAGAAGAAATTCAAAACCCTACCCCCCTTCTCCAATGGTGCAGCTCGGTTTTGAGAGGGTGAGAGGAGAGAGAAACTGATTTGGGATAATGAGACTAAGTCACTTATAAGGCTAACACATGTGGCCTTTTTTAACAGATGTTTTTCTATCGCGTATTTTAACTTAAATTGACCCGGAACTAACTTAAAACTACGAACATATTTTTATTTTTCTAAAATCATTTACATTAATTTTTATCTGTTACAAAACAATATTCATAATTCACAGTATGGTTTTCTGCACCGTTTTTGACGAAATGCACTGTGAATCACTAACTGTACTTTATTTACTTTTGAAACTTCACACTTATAAACTTATCATTTTCTTGGGCCTATATTGACTTGCTTGGCATATATTGGACTTTCTTATTCTTATTTCATCAATTATTTATTTCTGGACTCTACCGGTTGCTTAAACAGCAGTACAAAATACCCGGTAGAAACACTATTCACGAGATTTTCACGGAAAGTGCCAGACTATACATTTTTTCGTTCTGAACTCATATTTGTCATCAGAATTTTCAAATTATGTTCCTAAAATTATTTTGCTCATTTTAAGCTCTACCGGTTAATTCACAAAACTGTAAATTCTCCGGCAGAACGCACTGTTCATAACATAGTCATGATTACAGTCAAAATACTCGAAATCACACACTGAATCTAATTATGGCATTTAAATCCTTAAATTAAATCTCTAACTAAGATTTACCAGTTAGGGTCATTATAGTTGCAATGTAAGCAAAAAATGTGACTCATACATGCTTATTTGATTAAGTTGTATTCAAATCCCGTTCAGACAACATTTTTTTTTTGTGCTTAAAAAAATTTAATCCAATCTTTTTTTTTTTTGCTGATACTATGACTTTTTAGTGTTAACATATTAGTGTTACTTATTTAATGAGTTTTTGCCTTCTGTATCGTAGACACAAGGAATGAAAATCACACAGTAAATGACATATTTAGTAAGTGTTGAACTTATCCCTCCAATGATTGCTACGAAATGACACTGAATGAATAGCGTTGTCATATTATAGGTAAAAGCTGATCTTTTAAATTCATATTTGCTTGGTGTTATTGTTACCTTGATTTTGTTGATGAATGTTATAATTAACAATGATTTGTATGCATTTTCCTTTTTATATTCCTTACTCATGTTAACATGGTGTATTATAACGTATTATGGTGTATTATGATGTAGTTGTATGCAAAATTAATTATCTCTCTGAATAGCAATTTTTTTTTTGTGGTTGATATTTTCCAAGTTCTGTGTCATTGCTGTAATTTTTTCCACCTGAAATATAAAAAAAATAGCAACACATTTTTTTGTAAGTATAAGATTTACAATGCGATTAACCAATCACGACGGATGACAAATTTTTTGATCTTTTTCCCCGTACATCGCACAGATAATATACTAGTATAACACATAAGAGGACAACATAGAAAAAAAATACTACTCTATTATGTTTTAATTTTTTAATTTGAAACTAGTTATAAACAATTTCAAAAAAAATACTACTCCATTTGACTGCATATTTACGCTACCCTATGTTGACCCTGATCGTCCTGTCTCGACATGTTGCTATTTGCGCTAACAAAGCATATTCTTTGGTCGTTCTGTTCATTCATGCCAAAGCATTATTTATCCGGGTACACCCCTCTTTATCCGGGTAAATAATTCAAACATTTTTTCAGATTCAAGAAATATACTCGGGTAGGGAAATGTGTACCCGGGTTGGTAAAAAATTTCAAAATATACCCGGGTAGGTAGGGGTGTACTCGGGTAGGCTTCATGGTCAACGGTCAAACAATGGCAGATTGATGTTATATTTTCTGGAGAGGTTAAATTTCTGAAATAGTTTATAAATAAGGTCAATTTGATAATTAATTATTAAAAAAAGATTATAGTGATCAAAAAGCCTATAATAATGTGATGTTCTTTTGAGCAAACTAGTTATAAACATAGGGTTATACAAGTAGTATGTTACAGCAATTGTCCATAATTTTTGAGCAGAGACAAAAATGAAGAGAGAGAAAGTGATAGGAGAAAAAAGAAAAAAAAAATTGTGAACCCCATATTTTTATTATTTGTGCAAAAAAGAAATTTGTTTTACAGTTGCATGATATTAATATTATCCATAAACATAGAATAATTATTTACTACTATACGATAAAAGTATTACCCATTAATTAATGTGATGTTCTTGGTATGCGCAAACATGGCAGGGGGCCGCTTAGCTTGGAGTCATTGGCTTTTACTTTATTGAGTGGACAAGACATCTGATATGCGGCATTTGTTTTATTATTCTCTATTTATTAAGGGATTTATATTTATCATTTAACATGACACAATAAATTTTTCTACACACAATATTCTGTGGGACTCACACTTTTTTGAAGAAAAAAGAAAAAAGAAAAAATTACGGCATGCAAAACGAATCTTTATAACATTACATAATCAATTTTTCTACCACACAACTCTTATAAAACTCATTTATTAAACACCGTTTGCTCAGAATAAGGAACCAATAACAAGAGGAGCACATAGAAAAATGATAAGATACTACTTCGAGATACGTGCAACAAAATGTTTGCCTTTTCATTCGTTCATTCAAATTTTTTTGTAATATTCCATAAAAGCGAAACAATAAGATCTTTTCAATCCAAGGCTCAAGATCTAATTACAAGTAGCATAGGCACACAGAGAAAAGAGAAAGAGGGAGAACTCAAGTACCTACATACATCCATGACTTACAATTGCAACCGGCAAAATAAGCATCCTATCCACACTCCAATCCTCTTCTTCAAGATTATTCTTAGAACAAGTCTTCAAGATGGAAAGCTTGTAAACATTCCTTCCTTCATCTCAATTTTTTTTTTTTTTTGGGTTTTTTATTGTTATGCTTACGAATTTAACTGTGCATGCTAAGAGAAAGTTTTTTTTTTTTTTTTGTAGAAACTCCCAAACAATTTCACTAAGAAATATGGTGGTGATATGCCAAACCCAATGTTTCTCAAGCCTGAAGATGGCACTGAATGGGAATTATTTTGGACTAAAAATGATGGTGATATTTGGCTTCAAAAGGGTTGGAAGGAATTTTCTACGTATTACTCACTAGATCATGGTCATATGGTGTTGTTTGAATACAAGCACACTTCTCATTTTGATGTACGCATATTTGACAAGAGTACCCTTGAAATAAATTATCCTTTCCATTGCACTCAAGATGAACGGGATAACCTTGACCAGATTAGTGATGATCACTCAGTTAAAATTTCGGATGAGCTACCACCATGCCATAAGAATACACAGAAATCACCAATGTCTTCTCCTCAACCATGTAAGAAATTGAGAACTTGCACAAGTAATGTTGAAAGAAGCTCTACTTTGCAAATTGAAGGTACAATCTTGGAGAAGTCTAAATTTGCATCTGTAAAGAAAGAACCGGATGGTATGTATTTCAGGATCAAATTTTCCTTTTGTCATTTCATGGATCCAGTTGAGTTATATACATGAGGTCAAATTTTTATAACATACCTCATGTTGTTCAATTTTTCAGAGGATATAGGTGGTACTACAGAATTTCTAAGAGTGAAGCAGTTCACTTCTAAAATTACCGAAGCTATAAAAAAAGCCAAAACATTCAGATCTGAAAGTCCCTCTTTCACGGTTGTCATGAAGCCTGCCTATGTTGATGGATATAACTTGGTGAGCTTTTGATTAGCTTCATTTGTATCAGTTAAAGATAGTTTCTTATCTTTTGTTTGAAGCAGAAATATAACTTTCTAGTTAGATTTTCTAACATGAAAAAAGTAAAAAAATAAAAAATCCAGGCTGTCCCAGTACAATTTGCTGAAATATATTTGAAGAAAAAGGAAAGGAATATCCTCCTTCAAGTCTTGGATGGGAGAACTTGGGCTTGTAAATATAGATTCCCCAGAATTATTAGTAGATGGAAGAAATTTGTAACTGATAATGATTTGAAAGTGGGAGATGTTTGTCTTTTTGAGATGACCAACATCCGAGACCTTTCTTTGAAAGTACAAATCTTTCCACTTGCAGAAGAATCAAATTCCCCTTCAGTTCAAGGTAATACAAGTTTGTCTTTCTTTCAAAGTATTATTATGTTTGATCTGCATAGTAATGGCTGTAATTTTCTTCCTTAAAAACTGTTCAAGGAGATGGAATTCATTGGTTAGACCCTGGGAGAGTGCTGCATGTTGGATGTTTAAATATTAATACAAGAAAAGTTAAATCTTAGACACCAATGCTGCATGACCAGTTGGTAATTCATGTCTTCGTACTCCCTATAAAAATGCAAATGTGAATATTTGAACATTGTGCTGAGTGCATCCTTAAACTATGTGGTTCTGTGCCATGCCATATATGGGATGACAACTAAAAAATCTTCATTGCTGACAGGAGCTCTGAAAGAAGCTAGTGAATTCGGCTCAGAAAATCCCTTTTTCAAAGTTAAAATAAAGACCGATGATAAATTTAGACCGGTGAGGCTAAGTTAAACAGCAAATTAAATAGGGACAATGACCATATTGCCACTTTTTAGGCAAAATTTTACCTGATTGTCACTTCTGAAAAAAAATTTGCCAAAATGCCACGCCTGAATCTCGCTGGTCTGACAAGCGGGAATGGACTGGACACGTGTCAGCGTCTGAATGGTCAACCATTCTCGCTGGGCCGTCCAGCTAGAATGACAGAATGCTGACACGTGGCAAAAGTACAGACATGCAGAGAATGCCTGTTGCCACGTGTCAGCATTCTGTCATTCTAGTTGGGCGGCCCAGCGAGAATGGTTGACCATTCAGACGCTGACACGTGTCCAGTCCATTCCCGCTTGTTAGACCAGCGGGATTCAGGCGTGGTATTTTGGCAAATTTTTTTTCAGAAGTGGCAATCAGGTAAATTTTTATGAAAGGAGTGGCAATATGGTCAATGTCCCAATTAAATACATATATTTATGTATGAAAATTTTACGGTAGACGCTTCCATGTTTGAGGGTTATGGACATTTGATAGATAAATGAAAGGGGATAAGAGATCAAAGAGAAAAAATATTGGAATATTGGTGGGAAAAAATTAAGGTTTGATTTATTTTTCAAATTTTAAGAACCCTTCGCATGATCACATAATTTGAAATCACACGTGAGAGATTACTCTCTCTTTATACAATGCAAGCAGCAAAAATGTAGTTGTTTTTATAATATCATTAACTGTTGGGCTTTGATCTCATAACTTGATGCAGAATGTACCACTTGTCTTCATGAGAGACTACTTCAATAACATGATGCAGATTGTGATGTTACAGTTTGGAAAGAAATTGTGGCCTGTAAATTTAGTGAGTTATGCATCTGCAAATAGAAATGGTGCTCGATGGAAGTTTTCTAATGGTTGGTTGCAATTTGCTCGAGAAAGTAAATTTGTAGATGGAGATGATTGTGTGTTTGAACTCATCAACAGAGAAAATGCAGTACTTAATGTTCATATTTTTTGAGGCCACGGTTAGGAAAATCTAATTGGAGCTATTGGTACCATAACTCTCTGACAATGTATCACTCCCATTGAATGCTTTTGGTAAAATTGACATTGTATTATATTGTAGTAATTAATCCTTGTGAGGCGTAGTTATTAATATTACGACAAGAAGTGCTGTTTTCGTATGAATTTAAAAATGTATGGCTTGCATTTAATATTTTTAATATTTTTTACATTTGTTTAGTTAAAAATTTATCATTGGGTGGGTTTTAAGCTAACTTTGATTTTCATTAGATATACTCTATTCGTATAAGAATATAAAACAAACAAAACCTGTGAATATGCTATTTTCCTTATAAAACTAAGTATTTAAAACTTTAGAAAAACATCTATCTTTTTAAGGGATATAAACTTATATCATTTTATATTTTAACCGTTGATTTTTGTCCATCAACAGTTATAATCTCTTGGGTCAAACTTAATGAGTTATATTTATTATTAATTAATTAATAATTTTGATTCAATATATTATAATCGTATTCTTTAAAATGACAGATATTATTCCCTTAAAACTATATAAAATATGAGAATGTCATTTTTTACGATTCACTGTATAAAATAAGTATTTAAGAAAGTGATTTAGTTCAAGTCGCGGTTGGGCAAACTGTTCGGGCTAGGACACAATGGAGGATGGTTTTGTGGCGTGTGGGTTTGATGAAATTGAAGAGAAATATGGTTAGTTGATGTTGAGCCAGAGAGAAAGAGAGGTTAGGGTTCGGGTGTGTTGGGTTGGAGACTTCAAATGAAAAGGGTAACCCTTGAGGGTTACTTTCTTTCACTATTTTTCTTTTCCACTTCTGCCATCACTTCCCTTCTATTTTTCCAATTTTATCCTTGATTGCTATTGCTGAGATGAGAGTGCAATATGTCCTTCATGGGCTACTTTCGGTCTTTGAACTTTGGTTTAAGCTTTTCCTAAAATAAAAATATAGCATCCCATTAACTGATATCGTTGCCTGGAAAGGAACAGTAATCAAAATGTTATTTTTTTTTTATCAAATTTTATTCAAATGTTATGTGAATTGTACTTTTCTCGTTCCCTCTCCTGTGTGTAAAACAAATAATGTTTTTATTTATTTTATATAAAATTATTTATGTAATTTTAATTTGAAATTAGTTATAATCAATTTTTATTTTTTCTTTTGAGCTATTATTTTAAGTTTTACTTCAATTAATTATACATAATTATGCTATCATAGATCTAAAAGAATAACTAGTGTCCTTTTATTTGAGATTAATTAATGTGATGTTCTTGAGTTCTCCCTCATTGGCTTTTACTTTATTGATTGGACAAGACATATGCTATGCCGCATTTGTTTTATTATTCACTATTATTAAACACCGTTTGCTCAGAGTAAGGAACCAACAACAAGAGGAGCACAGAAAAATGATAAGATACTACTTCGAGATACGTGCAACAAAATGTTTGCCTTTTCATTTGTTGTGTTATTTTAAAAGACGTAAAATTGTGTCATTTTAAAATAGAGAAATAATAAATAAATGAAATGAGAAATTTGACAAAAAAAAATAAAAGTGTGAGTTCCATCTCTTCATGAGAGTGAAAGAGTATAAGTTATGTCATTTAACATAAATACTTTTACCTTCAAATTTTTTTTGTAAAATTCCATAAAAGCGAAACAATAAGATCTTTTCAATCCAAGGCTCAAGATCTAATTACAAGTAGCATAGGCACACAGAGAAAAGAGAAAGAGGGAGAACTCAAGTACCTACATACATCCATGACTTACCATTGCAACAGGCAAAATAAGCATCCTATCCACCCTCCAATCCTCTTCTTCAAGATTATTCTTGGAACAAGTCTTCAAGATGGAAAGCTTGTAAACATTCCTTCCTTCATCTCATTTTTTTTTTTTTTTGGGTTTTTTTTATTGTTATGCTTATGAATTTAACTACGCATGCTAAGAGAAAGTTTTTGCAGAGACTCCCAAACAATTTCACTACGAAATATGGTTGTGATATGCCAAACCCAATGTTTCTCAAGCCTGAAGATGGCACTGAATGGGAATTATTTTGGACTAAAAATGATGGTGATATTTGGCTTCAAAAGGGTTGGAAGGAATTTTCTACATATTACTCCCTAGATCATGGTCATATGGTGTTGTTTGAATACAAGCACACTTCTCATCTTGATGTACACATATTTGACAAGAGTACCCTTGAAATAGATTATCCTTTCCATTGCACTCAAGATGAACAGGACAACCTTGACCAGATTAGTGACGATGACTCAGTTAAAATTTCGGATGAGCTACCAGCATGCCATAAGAATACACAGAAATCACCAATGTCTTCTCCTCAACCATGTAAGAAATTGAGAACTTGCACAAGTAAGGTTGAAAGAAGCTCTACTTTGCAAAACTTGCCTCAGCGTGTCCAAATTGAAGGTACAATCTTGGAGAAGTCTAAATTTGCATCCGTAAAGAAAGAACCGGATGGTATGTATTTCAGGATCAAATTTTCCTTTTGTCATTTCATGGATTCAGTTGAGTTATATATATGAGGTCAAATTTTTATAACATACCTCATGTTGTTCAATTTTTTAGAGAATATAGGTGGTACTACAGAATTTCTAAGAGTGAAGCAGTTCACTTCTAAAATTACCGCTATAAAAAAAGCCAAAACTTTCAGATCTAAAAGTCCCTCTTTCACGGTTGTCATGAAGCCTGCCTATGTTGATGGATATGACTTGGTGAGCTTTTGATTAGCTTCATTTGTATCAGTTAAAGATAGTTTCTTATCTTTTGTTTGAAGCAGAGATATAACTTTCTAGTTAGATTTTCTAACTTGAAACAAATAAAAAAAATAAAAAATCCAGGCTGTCCCAGTACAATTTGCTGAAATATATTTGAAGAAAAAGGAAAGGAATATCCTCCTTCAAGTCTTGGATGGGAGAACTTGGACTTGTAAATATAGATTCCCCAGAATTAGTAGTAGATGGAAGAAATTTGTAACTGATAATGATTTGAAAGTGGGAGATGTTTGTCTTTTTGAGATGACCAACATCCGAGACCTTTCTTTGAAAGTACACATCTTTCCACTTGCAGAAGAATCAAATTCCCCTTCAGTTCAAGGTAATACAAGTTTGTCTTTCTTTCAAAGTATTATTATGTTTGATCTGCATAGTAATGGCTGTAATTTTCTTCCTTAAAAACTGTTCAAGGAGATGGAATTCATTGGTTAGACCCTGGGAGAGTGCTGCATGTTGGATGTTTAAATATTAATACAAGAAAAGTTAAATCTTAGACACCAATGCTGCATGACCAGTTGGTAATTCATGTCTTCGTACTCCCTATAAAAATGCAAATGTGAATATTTGAACATTGTGCTGAGTGCATCCTTAAACTATGTGGTTCTGTGCCATGCCATATATGGGATGACAACTAAAAAATCTTCATTGCTGACAGGAGCTCTGAAAGAAGCTAGTGAATTCGCCTCAGAAAATCCCTCTTTCAAAGTTAAAATAAAGACCGATGATAAATTTAGACCGGTAAATACATATGTTTATGTATGAAAATTTAACGGTAGACCCTGTCATTTTTGATTTCACATGACCATGTCATGTGAAGGGTTATGTACATTTGATAGATAAATGTAAGGGGATAAGAGATCAAAGAGAAAAAATATTGGAATATTGGTGGAAAAAAGTTAAGGTTTGATTTATTTATCAAATTTTAAGAACCCTTCGCATGATCACATAATGTGAAATTACACAAGAGAGATTACTGTCTCTTTATACCGTGCAAGCTGCAAAAATGTTGTTATTTTTATACTATCATTAACTGTTGGGCTTTGATCTCAACTTGATGCAGGATGTACCACTTGTCTTCATGAGAGACTACTTCAATAACATGATGCAGATTGTGATGTTACAGTTTGGAAAGAAATTGTGGCCTGTAAAGTTAGTGAGATATAAATCTGCACATAGAAATGGTGCTCGATGGAAGTTGGTTAATGGTTGGTTGCAATTTGCTCGAGAAAGTAAATTGGTAGATGGAGATTACTGGGTGTTTGAACTCATCAACAGAGAGAATGCAGTACTTAATGTTCATATATTTTGAGGCCACGGTTAGGCAAATCTAATTGGAGCTATTGGTACCATGACTCTCTGACAATGTATCACTCCCCTTGAATGCTTTTGGTAAAATTGACATTGTAGTTATTAATCCTTATGAGGCGTAGTTATTAATATTACGACAAGAAGTGTTATTTTCGTATAAATTTAAAAATGTATGGTTTGCATTTAATATTTTTAATTTTTTTTTTACATTTGTTTAATTAAAAATTTATCATTGGGTGGGTTTTAAGCTAGCTTTGATTTTCGTACCTGTGAATGCTATTTTCCTTATAATCAATAATGTCTAAAATTTAGTATTTAAAACTTATATAAAATATGAGAATGTCGACTTTTACGATTCACCGTATAAAATAAGTATTTAAGAAAATGGTTTAGTTGAAGTCGCGGTTGGGCGAACCGTTTGGGCTTGGACACAATGGAGGATGGTTTTGTGGCGTGTGGGTTTGATGAAATTGAAGAGAAATATGGTTATGTGATGTTGAGCCTGAGAGAAAGAGGGGTTAGGGTTCGGGTAGGTTGGGTTGGAGACTTCGAATGAAAAGAGTAACCCTCAAGTAGGGTGTAAATGGATTAGGTCGGCCTATAGGGATCTACGGCTTAGCCTATATTAGGCCAGACTTGATTTATTGCAAATAGTTAAATAGAACAAGTTTAGACTTAAAAAAATCTATTTAGAAAATAGATCATAGGCTTTTTAGTACATGGTCTATAAGCCTACAAGCCACCTATATCATATTATTTATATTAAATAAAATAAATAAAATTATTATTTTAATAATTTTGAATAATAAAATAATATTATTTTAATTATTTTTTAATTATTGAATTTTTAATAGGCTTAAACAGGCTAATAGGTCTAGGCAAAGACTTTTATTTTTTAAATACAGGTCAGGCCAGACTTGTAATATGGGCCTACACAGGCTGAAAGGTCATGCCAATCCCAAGGGTTTTTCCACAGGCCTGACCTATTTAAGTCAAAACCTAGCCTATTTACACCCCTACCCTCAAGGTTACTTTGGGTATGCATATGCATGACAATCATTCTTTCCATTTCTGTTACTTAGCACAAAAATTAAATCGGTTATTGTGAGAGAAAAAATAAATCGATTTCACCAAATAAATTTTCTGTCCATTTCTGTTCCCGAAAATAAAAATAATAATAAAAAAATTACAAGAAGGTTGGGATGCACATTTTTTTTTTGAATGTGAATGTTGCACATCCTTTCTTTCACTATTCTTCTTTTCCACTTCTGCCATCACTTCCCTTCTATTTTTCCAATTTTATCCCTGATTGCTATTGCTGAGATGAGAGTGCAATATGTCCTTCATGGGTCAAGTGGGCTACTTTCGGTCTTTGAACTTTGGTTTAAGCTTTTCCTAAAATAAAAGTATAGCAATTAGCAGCCCATTACCTAATATCATTTGCTGGAAATGCATGTAATTGGGATAAGTGAAGTTGGGTTTATAACATTTTTAAACAAATAAGAAACTGACCCAATTTACACTTATTTTCAAAGACTCAACAGTTTGCAATACAGTACTTAGCTAATTATGGTCGTCGTACGGTATAATTCTATACACAATTTTATGTATTGAATTGATATTTCAAAATTTAAATTAAAATATAAATATAAATTGAGAGAAAAGTATGTAAGAAAAAAGTTATAGTTATAGAAAAATATGTATAATTGATTTAAGGAGAATTTCAGAAAATTTAAAACTATGTAGATAATATATAAATTAATTTAAGGAGATCTTAAATTTAATTTTTTTTTTATAAAAAAACATTTCATCTTCAAAAAAATATTAAGATATTTAATCACCTTTAAAGAATAAATTTAATATATAGGGTTGGATTCATCGGTATAATTTGAGTATCTATAATAGTATTTTATCAATTTTTACATACTTTAAAATCACTTTAACTGGGTTTTTTTTCAGAATTTTAAATTTTAAATTGAAATTGTGAGTTTTATTAAACTTTTAAAATTTAAATTTTAAATCTGCAATTATTAATTTGGTGTTTTGAAACAGACGATGGACGGCTTCCAAGGTGATCTAGCATATTTCGTGTTTGGAACTATGTAGCACTGATACCGACACGTGACACGATATGATATTCCGACACGTTAATTCTAAAAAATGTTAGATTTCGACACATTAGGACACATTTTGATATTAAATAATATTTTTAATTTATGTAATGTATATTATATTTAATATTCAATAATTTAACAAAAAAATGAAACTAAACTTATAATATTCATCAATTTTGCAAAGAAACATAAGATATCTCAAATATTTATATTAAACTCAATAAAATGGTAATCGTAATCTAACGAATCTAATAGTTGGAATTAAAAACTCAATGCAACGCGATCTTTGAACCTTTTTTTGAATTTCTATAATGCGTGTTGAAGTGTCGGATTGTCGGAGAGTGTCGGACACGACACGTCAGGGTTTTAAAAATGTCGGTGCTTCATAGGTTTGGAATACTAAAATTATAACTTTGTGAAAATTTCTAGAAAAAAATAAATTTTTGCAAATCAAGATTTAAATTTAAACTTGCTTGAAATCACTGCTGCACCAAATGTTTGATATTTCCCACCAAATCTTGGATAGGAAATGATATCATATGACGTATTTGTTTTATATTTCTTAAACCCCATTAGTTCAAAACATATAACACAGAAGAGGACAACATAGAAAAAAAATACGACTCTATTATGTCAAGACTCAAGTTCGTAGTTTACAAGTGCGGAGTCTGAAAAGCAGTGTTAATAAAATAGGACCGATATCTGAGAACCGGTAAATCGGTCATATAATCAGTTTGGTTGAAGTAACAGACCAATCATGCATCAGAACCGGTGCGACCCGGTCTGACTCGGCCGGTTTTCATGAAAATTGGTGACCCATTCGGTTAACCGGTGACCCGACCCGGTCCAAGAAAAAAAAATTTTCAAAAAAAAAATCATAATAGACATATTTAAATATTTTTTTTGCTTATTAACTTACATAAGGTATATACCTATAACACTAATATTATCTCAATTATGCACTATGCAGAAAATTTTGATTTGATTTATAGTTAAAGATGTCATTTTCTGAACCTAAAGTCGTGTATCACGATCATTCTATTTTTGTTTGATTCTTTATTGGATAATAATATGTGATTTATTATTTTTTATATTAAAATATTCGCAATTTTTATCATTTTTTTAGATATTTGAGTATGTTTATAATTTTTTTAATATAAATTATAAAATTACATATAATTATCGGGTCATGCGGTTGAACCAGTGACCCACTGGTTGAACCAATAACCAGTCCCATTACCTCGACCGGGTCAATGACCAGACCAATTTTAATAACATTGCTGAAAAAAGCTTGTAAACATTCTTTCCTTTACTTCCCCTTTTCTCTCTGCACATTTGAATTGTACAAGTGATTAGAAAGAAGACATTTGAATTTTTTTCTTATGCTTGTGAATTTAATTATGCATGCTAACAGAAAGTCCTTTGTAGAAGATGTTAAATTTGCATAATATATCATGTTCATAAATCACAAATAAGAACATGATAAAGGATCTTGGGAATACATGATTTTTACATACACATAAGAGATAAAGACATACCCGGTCTCGACGATTAAGGATTAACAACAGTCATCATCTTGTGAGCAATTGTGTTGGGGTAGTTTCTCTCTCTAAGCCTTCTTTACTTGATATGTATTCTGATGGAGAGAATGACATTAGGGTTGAAGGGGAGAGAGGACCATCCCTAATATATATATTCCATAACTTATAATCTGGTACGTCTATCATATACCAAATCAATGATTGAGATTAAATGTATCAGTAATTAATGGGGTCATATAACGTTTAATGGGTAATATCAAGAGTCTTAATATTATAATTATAATAAAATCCTTTTACTATTATAATTGACTCTTAATATTTCTAACATTCTTCGACTTGGCCCGATTAATCATAATATACATGTTCATCTCTAATGTTAGTCATCATAAAAGATAAATTGTCAAGTGTGAGTTATGACGGTAGTGCACTATTAATTTAGTACATTCCCTTCCATATACTACAATACCAACAATCCATCATATAACATTCGTAATATAGGAAACATAATGGTCCACGCAATGTCTTACAAAGACTTCCTTGTCAAAATTCATAATGTGTATACAACCATAAAATAACAAGGAAACATAACGTATGTCAGAAACACATAGGTGAGCTCAGAGTGTCACACATCAATATTCTTTAATACAACCAAGGCCCATACTTTCAACATGTTCTTTAAATAGCTTTGATTGTAACCCTTTTGTCAAAGGGTTTGCCATCATGTGTTCATTTCTGACGTGCATAATTGACACTCTGTTTCTGAATCTCCCCTTTAACGGAAAAATACTTTAACTCTATACGTTTGGCACCTTTAGAGTATCTTTTATTCTTAGAGAAGAATACTGCTGCAAAATTATCACAGTAAATTTTCAGCGGCCTGCTAATGGTGTCGACAACCGCAAGCCCTGAGATAAAGTTCCGCAGCCATAATGCATGAGATGTGGCTTCTAAACATGCCAAAAATTCTGCCTCAATAGTGGATGAAGCAACGATAGTCTATTTTGCACTTGTCCATGATATGGCTCCTTGGGCAAACATAAACAAGTAGCCAAAGGTTGACTTTCTACTATCAAGAGACATCCACCAAAATCTGAATTAGTATATCCAATTACTTCTAATTTATTGGACCTTTTGTACATGAGTAAGTGATCCTTCGTGCCTTGAAGGTACCTTAAAACTTTCTTTGCAGTTTTCCAATATTCCATTCCTGGATTACTTTGATATCTTCCCAACATTCCGACCGCAAAACTGATATCCGGTCGAGTACAAGTTTGAAGATACATTAAGCTGCTCACAACAGAGGCATATGGAATTGATTCCATCTCTTTCCATTCAACATCATTCTT